AAAGTGCAACAATGAATGAATGGAAATCCAAAGTCTCTGTAAATTTTTACTGAAATTAATAATAAATTTTTTTTAAACTTTGGAAATGTTTTTTTGCCGAGTCAGCAGCTTTGTTCCCACAGTTCCAATACTAAAAGTTTTGACAAAAAAAAAAAAGTTGGAAATGGAAAAAAAAAGATATTATTACTCATTGGGCTTCCATGTTTGTCTATGCATTTTCCTTGTTCAAGAATTCCCTAACCTGACTAGGTACTCTTAAGATCTTAGTTTGATGCCCTTACCAGGCTGGACCCCTCTGGTTCTTCCCCATCATTATGCCCACCCTGTGACACTGTCCTTCCAGGTAAGACCCTCTTCTCTCATTCACAGTCTTGTTTACCACTGTATCTCCAACGCCTGACATATAGTAAAACAAACAGGTTGCTGTTGATTCTAACTCACGGTTACCCATGTGTGTCACGGTAGTACTGTGCTCCACAGAGTTTTCAAAGGCTGACATTTCTTTCTTCTTCTTTTTTTTTAATTTAAAGGCTGATATTGTAAAAATAGAGCGCCAAGTCTTTTGTCTGAGACACCTGTGAGTGGATTTGAACCTCCAGACTTTCAGTTAGTAGCTGAGTGTGTTAACTGTTCATACCACCCAGAGATAAGTAAAAAGATAATGGGGGGGAATAAAGAAATCGATTGTAATAAAGTGCTTATAGCCCACCTAGCAGAATAAATATAACAAGCAGAGAAATGTGAAAGACAGTAACTTCAGGAATAGTATGACTGAAAATAGCAGATGAACAGATTTATATAATGTGCTAAATAGAAGTAAGGAATAATCTTGTTCATACATTTTATTTTTGCTATTGTCGAGAATATACAAAGAATATACTTCAATTCAATAGTTTCTATATACTAAATCCAGTTACACTGAGGTCATTCTTTATTCTTTGAGCTGTGTGACCATTCTCATTCTCCTTTTCTGATCTGTTCTCTCATTAACATAAAATCATTGCCCTCTAAATTTCTTTTGTAGTCTTTTGATTTGCTTTTGCCAATTTGATCCCATATAGACAGATTTTAAAAGAAAACAATGCTCAAGGAAATAATCTTTACTAGCTAAGCTAAACTATTACTTGGTTTTAAGGAGGATGCAGAGGATATTTTTTTAGTTTAAGATTTACAGATTACTTCAGAACAATAATTTCAGGAGTTCATCCAGTCTCCAGAAAGCCCTGGATCCCAAAAGAATTTAAAATTTCAATGTTTGGGATATCAGCATTCACAAAGAATTTATTTTAATTCCTTCAAATACTTTCACTATTGAGAAAGAAAGTCAGAGGGACAGTTCCCCTCACTGCTTTTTTTTTTGCTTTTTTAAAAATTATTTAAATGCTCCTCCTTCTCCAGGAAAGCATCTGGAGGATTCAAACCATGAACCTTCTGGATTGCAGGGTACCTTCTTGCCACTAGACCCCCAGAGCTCCCTCCCTCATTGCTAATCAACAACCCCAACCTCCCATGTCAGTCTTATTTTATAATAGTGGTGTTATGCAGTATTGGTCCTGTTGTGACTGAAATATCTCACCCAGCATAACGTCTTCTAGACTCACCCACGTTGAACAATGTTTTGCAAGTTCATTGTTTTTCTGTGCTGTGCACTATTATATTTTGGAATGTATCACTATTTGTCTATCCATTCGAATACTTGGGCTGCTTCCATATCTTGTTATTTGTTGTTGTTAACAATGCAGCAATACACATGAGTGTACATACAACTTATAAGTAATGGCTCTGGTTTATGAAGAGTATATTCCCAGTCCTTGCCCCCAAGGAGCAGCCTGATTTAATCTTCTCTAGGATGAGCCCATTCATTTTCCTAGCAGTCCATTTATTTAATATAGAATATTATAAATACAGTATATCATAAATACAGTATATTTAATACTCTTCTCCAACACCAGAGTTGGGCATGTTTTAAAGAGGGACTGGTTCTTGGAGAAGGACGTCATGCTTGGGAGGGTGGAGGGACAGCACAGGAGAGGAAGACCCTCTATGAGGTGGATTGATTCAAAGGCTGGGGTAATCCAGTAGGTGTGTCAGAGACAGTAAGATTTGCACAAGATAGAGCAGGGTTTAGGGCTGTTGTACATAGGGTTGCTACGAGTTGCAGGTGACTCGATGGCACATAACAACAACAATAACAACATATTTCCAGTAGTGGAATTGCTGAGTTAAATGGTATTTCTATTTCCA